TATATATATATATATATATATGTATGTATGTATATAAAAAGTGTAATTTATATAATTATTGTGGAATGGATGGCTCAAATAACCTGGAGAGAAATGTCTGGCTTTGATTGTAGACTTTCTCCATTTGCTCTCCATGTATTCTCATTGCTGAGACTAGCAAGATAATTTGTGTTTTTCTGAGCCAGTTATTTCATGCATTATTGTTTCTTGCTGAATATTTCAGCTCTTGACTTCAAAAATGCAAAATATATTTCAACAAAGCCTCAGAAATCCTGTAATATTCGTATATAAACGCTCATTCACAATCAGTGCAGACGTGCAGAACTCAGCATGTCACCTTCAGCGGCAGCAGAAAGGATATGAGTGTACTAAAATCCTTATTGATGCTCTTCTAACGAGATGAAAAGGGCTAAAAATATAGAGTGCAGACGTGGCACTAAACCGGAAGATGGCCTTCCCTTTGTTCAGTACTATAAAAGTCTGTTGAGAAAGAAGAGAAAGGTTAGTTAGCGCGACAAAAACTCAGCAGTGACATTTAATATCAAACACCACGTGAACCTCAAACATTTCTGAAACACGAGCGGGAGGAATTTCTGAAAATGGCTTATTGAACCATATGCACAATATGCTCCTGTTTCAGAAATGATGCCCAATATGATGCCCGCTTCTGTAAATGTATATTTGCAACACATTTCTGGAGGACATAAAGGTGAAAATGAGTTTGGTTGTACAGCTCGGTGAAAATTTCAAAAGAAGTCTTTCATGCTCACCAAAGACTGCATTTATTTGATCAAAATCAGTGTAAAAATAGATGGATGGATAAATAAAATATATACATAAAATAACTAACTAAATAAATAAAATGTTGATTAAAATCATAAATAGTAAATTATTAAATTTTGATCGAATAAAATTTGAATAAAATAGATAAGTAATAATAATTAGATTTAAAATAAATTAATAGATTAACATAATAAATAAATAATTAAAGAAAATTCTATATGAAAATAAATTCGAAAAATTAAAATAAAGTACCATAATACAAAAACTGAGAATAAAATTTAAAAAATAATTGTTTTAACATTTTTATTTAGTGATTTTATTCTCATTTTTAATATTTATTTTATATATGTTTCAAATAAATAATAATAATTAAAATAAAATAATGCAATAAATAATACAATTTAGAATAACAAATAATAAAAAGAATAAAACAATAAACAATAAAATATTAGATTTTGAATAAATAGATTTTTAAAAAATAAAATAAAAAGTTCGATTTTAAATAAATAAATAATCATTTAAAAATCATATTACCACAATATTATTATTATAATAATATGAAATATCATTACAATTCGAAATAACTCTTTTCTATTTTAATATATTTTAAAATATAATTGATTCCTGTATTGGCAAAGCTGAATTTCAGTCTTCAATGTCACATGATCCTTCAGAAATCATTCTAACACATTTGCTACATTTGCTACATCTGATACGTTTGTTTGCTCAGGATTCTGTGATGAATAGAATGTTCACAAACAGCACTTGTTTGAAATCTAAATCTTCTGTTACATTATCAGTGTAACACCTTTGATCATTCGAATGCATCTATACTGAATAAAACAGTTTTTTGGTGATAAGAGCATATAAATGCATTGTTGGAACAAACTGTAATTATAATGATAAAGCAGGACGCGATGCTCGGAGTGCAAACAACAGGCAAATACATTACTATGGGCTCAGCGGGAGGACCGGCGCTCTCGGGGGACTCCCGTCTGTCGCGGGAGAGCGGCACAAACACACCTCACGGTTGCCCAGGATTCATGGCCCCCTCGCAGAGCTCCCCGTCACATAAATAATGGCAGAATAATTGCAGGCGGACAGCATCAGTGTCAGCGTGTTTTACAGCTCCAGCAGGAGCCGCTCTCTTGGCCTTTGTAACCTCTGCAAATAGCTGGCTTTCTCCGACCCTTGTGTGCTCTATTCTTACGTAACATCTAGGTCAAGTTTGCCTGTGTTTGTTTCCACTTTCCTCACATTTCCTCTGGGATATCATCTGCCAACTGCAGGTCCACATGAGCGGATCTGGAGAGGGCAGAGGGAAATCCAAGCCAAACGCTGAGAAGTAAATACATGCACAACACATCCACCACCAATAGTTCAGTCAGAAATGAAACGTCTGTCATCATCTGTGCTCAAAACGCAAAGCCAGTTATCCAGTAGACTTGCCAAGCTTCGAATGAGATTTGAGGCCTAAGGCTAAAAGCGAGGTTTGAAGAGAACGAGCTCAAAGCTATCATATGAATTCAGAAGACTTGTAATATAGTGCACTAGTGGTTTAAAAGACGACTGATATTTATATAACTAAATTTGAACTGAATTATCATCTGTAGAGCTGCTTTACAGGCAAAATCGAATTTGATTCATGACTGATGAACTTTACAATAATATATAATAAAAATTTGATTTAAAACAAACAAATAAAATCATTATTTAAAAAAAATAAATGTATAAATTATTAATAATAAATTATGAAATATTATTATCATTTAATATAGCTGTTTTCTATGTGAATATCTGTTAAAATGTAATTTATTCCTGTGACCAAATCTACATTTTCAGCTTCATCGATCAATGATCCTTCATTCTAATTCATTTGCTACATTTGAAATAATTTGATGCATTTGAAAGCTTTTATTTGAAACAGAAATCTTTTGTTACATTATAAATGTCATTTCTGATCAATTGAAATTTGATTTTGTTTCCCGCTTGATCATTTTTACAACATTAACAATCTTATTGAACTGAACTGAATCAACATTGAACTGAATTGCTCTGAATGACACTATTGTCGTCTTTAGCTGAAACTGAAACTAACTTCCAAATTAATCAACTTTGCAGCCTTGAACTGAGTTGAATCAACACTTAACTCAATCATTTAGAGCTGCTTTCCAGTTGAAATTGAATTTGTTTCAGTTGTGATATGGAGCACCAAACCTGCAGAAATGATCAATAAATACATCTAATAATAAGAAAAGAATTACAGAAAAAATGACTTGTAATAAAATTTAGTCCTAAGTACATTTTTGTATTACTATTAATTATTTTCTGTATTTATTTTTAGATTTTTTTCAACTTATTCTTTCATTTTTTATTTATTTTACAGATATGTATGTGTTAATTTATATTTATATCAAAACCCCTTTGGTGTTTTGTAACATCATACACTCTCAGAAAAAAAGGTACAAGAGCTGTCCTTTGCAAAAGCTGTTATGCACCATTTAGGCACAAATATGTACTTTTAAGGTACTAAGCTTTAGAGCTAAATGTGACCCTGGAGCACAAAAGCAGTGTTAAGTCACTGGGGTATATTTGTAGCAATAGCCAAAAATACATTGTATGAGTCAAAATGATTGATTTTTCTTTTATGCCAAAAATCATTAGGATATTAAGTAAAGATCATGCTCCATGAAGATAGTTTGTAAATTTTCTACCGTAAATATCTCAAAACTTAATTTTTGATTAGTAATATGCATTGCTAAGAACTTCATTTGAACAACTTTAAAGATGATTTTCTCAATATTTAGATTTTTTTGCACCCTCAGATTCCAGATTTTCAAATAGTTGTATCTCAGCCAAATATTGTCCTATCCTAACAAACCATACATCAATGGAAAGCTTATTTATTCAGCTTTCAGTTGATGTATAAATCTCAATTTCGAAAAATTTACCCTTATGCCTGGTATTGTGCTCCAGGGTCACAAATAAGGTACAAAAGTGCACCTTTTGAAAAGATACTGCCCCAGTGACAGCTTTTGTACCTTTTTTTCCTGAGTACACTATACTGTAGTGAGTAAATGACAGCAGTTTTATACCGAGTGAATGAAGTCCAGTGGAACGCTTCTCTTCTTCTGAATGTGCTTTATCACTCACAGAGCTCGACGGTGTCAACAAGCGCACTTAATACACTGACAAACCAGAGAAGTGTGAGAAATATAGCGATCATTTTTCACCAGACCAGTCCATGATACGCTAAAGTCAAACCAGCAATGTTATGAGCCCAGATTAGTTTACAATTATGAACATTATTAAATTACTAACGCCTGCGATTTCATTGATAGAAGTGTTTATTGTCTGGATGTGGCTGTTATGTAAGGATGCTAAGCTAATCCCATCCGAACAGGGTTTAAGACATAATATTTCATTTTCTGAAAATGAGTGTCGGCTTGCAAAAATATCAAAGGACGAGGCCTTTAATAGAAGGAGTCCTGTTAAGTGTCAATTCATCTTTCTTAGCATTAGCCACCGGCTTAGAAAAGCCTAAACAGCGCACATTTCCTCGACATTTAAAGAGTTGAGTCTAAACTTTTCGCTGAAATCCATAGAAATGGAGATTTGTGTGCTTGTGAAAGCCAGCGCAGCAGCGGTGGCATTAACAGCGGCTCACTGACTCATGCTATTCATCTGTCTGTATTCCTGCAGCGCAAACACATCCGCTGCCCTTTACTGACGCTCGTTGTTTGCTTCTGGTTTTTTGCTCATATTTAAACCCTTCGGACCAAGTGTAATGTGGTGTTTGGGTTTTGTCATGTTCATGTTTTCATGTCTTTTATTTTGTAATTGTTTTATGCTGTTTGTGTCATGCTTCCCTGCCCTCATGTAGTCATGCCATTGGTTCCTCTGTTCATTGTGTCATGTTCTGATTGGTTGTCTTAGTCATGTGTCTTGTTCCCCATTGGTTTGTTCTTGTCATGTGACCCTCTTGTCTACTATAAGTAGCCCTCATGTTGCCATTGTCTTTCGTTGTGTTTTGATGTTGTAACCTGCTGTCGGTGAGTCTAGTCTGTTCAAAGTCTGTTCATGTCAAGTCAAGTCTGTTCATGCCTCGTCAAGTCTGTTCATGCCACGTCAAGTCTGTTCATGCCACGTCAAGTTAAGTCTGTTCATGTCAAGTCAAGTCTGTTCAAGTCAAGTCTGTGTATCTAGTCTTCGTCTTGTTTGGATTATGTTTGAATCACTCTGTAAATAAACTGCACTTGGGTTCTCACTTCAACTCTCCTTCAGTGGACTGGATTCGTTACACCAAGGTAGAGAACTGGGATGTTTCTGATCTCAAACGTCTGTGAATATGCAGGTAAAAATGTACAGATAAACCACTGAAAAACACAAAAATATGTTCCTAAAAGTACCTTACGCTGCCTCATTTGCAGTGTTGAGAAGGTTACTTTGGAAATGTAACAGATTACAAGTTAGCCTATTTAAAATGTAATAGTAGTGTAACTTTTTCAATTACTTTATTAAAGTAATGTAACTTTTCTAAATTTCATTTTCAAACATTTACACCATGCAGGGTTAACCTTACAGTAGTGCTGTACTTGAATTAAGATGATCACATTTGAACACATCCACCACAAAATCAGACTTTAGTACCGCCTTTTACTTTGAGATTGATCTGAAGTTCAATGCAGATTTAAAATCATAAGAAATAGTTTACTGATACTGTTTTTGAAACCAAATCTTTGCATAACTACAGGAAACACTGCATCTAACAATGGTTTGGAAAAAAAGTTAGTTAAAAATAATAATAAATAAAAGCATATACATCAACTCAAATACGGTTATCTAATAAGCATGTGTCCTATTCTGTGTACTAAACTCCTGAAACATTGGTGTCTTTTTGAAACATTGGTGTCTCTTTGTATATGATATGATGATAGTTTTCTTCAAAATAAGTAAAATACTCATGAAGTGACTCTTCATGATCTCTAGCAGTTCTAGAGATTATGTTTATGTGTTCATGTACTCATATATTGAGGCGGCAGAGGCTGAAAACACCGTGAGCTTCAGTAGGCCTATGTGTAGTAAATGAAACCGCATGTCTGCACCATTAATTTCCACGAGGGGCGGACTGGGAAAAACAATTCAGGCCGGGAAATCTCACACTCGTACACCCACAACATATTCTGAAACATGGACAACCCTATTTTTTTGTATGGACCTCACATAAAAAAAGGTTTAAATCCTTAGGTCGGGGACATGCAAAATAATTAAAAGTTCTCTCTTGAACTGCACCTTCACTTCCATTTTTCTTTTCAGTCTCTTTA